TAATTATGAATTTATTTTCATTTTCATTTTTTAAAGTCGGGACAGACATGACTGCGGGATAGGACAGGGAGAAAGAATGAAAGAAAGAGAGGGAGAGAAAGAAAAATAGAGGAGAGAAGAGACTGTGAGAAAGGGGGAAGAAAGAAAGAAAAACAAACAAAACACCTGGGTCACCTGTATGGAGAAAAAAAAACAAGAAAGCAAACAACAAAGAGCAACATAATAAAAACAGCACCATCACAAACTAGCTAACAATAGATATCAGTAGATACTAAATATTAAACGATATTGTGCAGCACGCAAGATAGACAGCGCACAATGTGCTTTGAGGCAGCAGCCAAGAAAGCTGTAGTCCGCGTCTGTGAATACCCGTGTGTACACCTGTGTGCATCAGCATGCTTGTATTCCGAAGGTTTCTCCATGTAACGATCTGCTAGGGAGTGTGGGGAGCCACAGCCCCGTCCACCAGGGTATGAAGCAGGTATGGAGGAGATCCAGGCCCCAGACATCCAGAGGCCCCAGAGTACGAGGACCCGAGGAGGACCACCAAAGGGGGGGGGAACCGTGCCACCCTCCTGGGAAGAGCTGAGTAGAGCCCCAAACGAGAGGTCACCCAGCAGCTACGGAGCAGAGGCCAGAGGGGGTTGCAGTGGCTTGCACACACAGATTTCATTAACCATGTCAGGGTGCTAGCTCGCTGGTTTCCCATGTTCTGATGGTAGGATTTCTTTCTAACCTTCGGCCTCGATGAAGAGGAAAACCTAACGGTGTTTGCAGGGTTGGTGAAGTCGGTCCAGCTGATGTGATGATGAACTTGAGGGTCTACGCTCGCCACAGATCACCAACACGTATATCTGACTTTGTGGTAAAGTCACAGACTTCGCTTTGATCTGTCACAAATCAGGCTGTGTGACAGGAAGCTTTGATGTTTCCATGGATACAGTCTAAAGTCTCACAGCTTAAAAACAAACAGCACTGAGCGCGTTCAGACACAAAATAATTCAAATCTTTAGATGAACCAGTTTCTGCTGCTGTCAGATTATTTTAATTTATTTATCTAAAAAGGGACAGTGCAGTTTAACATAGTCCAAGTACAAAACATGAAACAGATGTAACGCACATAAGTTTATAGCTATTGCTAATTTTCAACAATTGTCCCTTGTTGGGCTTACAATCAAAATAAATACATTTTACAACAACTACAATTAATAGACAATAAATTAAAAAATAAAAATCTGTTAAAAAATAAATATTTTACTTTTAGATTTTGTCTTTTTCAGAGGTGTTGTATTTTTATTTATCCTCATCTGATAAAGCATCTGAGCAGGGGGTGCTCACAGGGATCATTTGATAAGAAACAAGACTGACGTGACGTGTCAAATACCTTTTTTATGTGAGCCTGAAGCAAAGAGCCCGGCTTAACAGAGAAGGCTGGTAATCACGATACCCGTTATCGCTGACTGGAGTTTCAGATTTTAGTCCAGGAAGTCAGGATATATAGAACTTTAGTTCACGGTTAGCTACAGAGCTAATATAAAATCATCAGCACAGGAAGCAGGAGGGTAAGGGTTAAACTGTTCCCAGTAACGATCACGCTGGGTGAAGGATGGAGACAAACACCATTGTAGGACAGGAAGAAGCTTAAAATGACACAAACGTGTCCGTCCACAGCTCGAGGTCAGTCACTAATCTGCTGCTGCCTGGTTTGAATGACTGTGACAAAATCCTGATCCTCAGTGTCGTGTCCAGAACGAGGGGAATTCTTTGGAGTCCAGGACACAACTTCTCTGCTGCTGGGTTAAGGTCAGACACTTTCTAATAAACAGTTCTTAGAGCACAACAGGAGCCAAGAGTACAACTCAATAAAGTTTCCACGAACACAGAAAATAATGAACCAGCTCCCTGAAATCTATAATCTCAGACGGTTTCCACTGAGCACCAATTATGTTCTCTTGACAAAAATAGACTTGTGAAAAGATTCATTTGTACATATGTTATATCTGTTTTCTCTGTCTCTCTTCATGCTCATGTATGGGAAGAGCTCACCGGTGTTTCCACAACAAACACAACAGAATCCTTCTCAGCTCTGTTTCCCCACCACTCTTCATCCTACCCGTCAACACACTTCCAAACACCAGCAGCATTTAGAAAAACAGCACGAGGCCTCTGCTCTTTGTTTAAGTAGTCTGTCTTTTGCTGGATGCTTCGTGGTACAGTGTTAACGTCCACATTTATTCAGACGAATACTGTTTAACTTCTCAAAAGTAAGAGCATGTTGGTCTGTCCAGGCCAGGTTAGATATGCATCCGACTGCCACCATCACAGATCTGTTTAATCTGCCTATCAGCCAACCAGCCTCGTCCGTTTAGACTTGTCCTTGACATTTTGGGGCATGAAGCTCCTTTCGGTTATAGCCTGAAAAATATTTGTTGAGTCTTGGTGGAAAAACCTTTCCCGAGTCTGTGTGAACATTTGTGTTGAATTTGAGGCGTTGAACACCTTCAGGGGTGATATAACCAGGATTAGCAATCATCAGGGTTCACTGGTACTGTAACCAGTCAAGTAGAGGAAGAAGGTTTGTTGTCACTCGTTGGCTGTTTTGCACAAACTAACAATGGGAATTATAATCCATTAAATAGAGGATTAGAGTAACTCTGCAAATAGTCTGAGGGTAAATTAATCTCATTTTCACTGACCGACAGTGAAGATGAACTGTGAAGGAGTGGAGAGACAATGCTGGTACCTCAACGCTGCACGAGGTCATCGTTCATTCGTCTCGATGAGCTAAAAGTCACACTCAGCTAAACAACCATCAAGATTTTTTTTTCCTACAGGTGGCATGTAAACCAGCCGAATTCTTCTCAGTTCGTATTAATCAACATTTTTCAGATTGGAAGCCAGTCCAACCTACAGAATGACTGAAAACACAACATCATTTATTATAATCAAACCCAAGTGCCGATGACATCGTACCACCACTGACTCAGTCTAACAAGTCTTTGGGGAAATTACAGTGAAAGAAATCATTATGTGATGAAAGTTTTCCCACAAAGAAAGAAATGGTTTCTGGTTCATTTCAAAGGAGACAAACTATTCTGCATTAACTCGAAGCTTCAACTCTCACCACAGACTTTTCATCGACCTGAGGACAGGAGACTGGTGAGGACGGTGCATAATACCTCATTCTGGATCTTCGTCTTTAGCCGGTCCTTTGTTCTCTTAGTGCTATGTTTAAGGTCTTCCTGGAAAACCCACCCACAACCAATCTTCAGCATTCAGGCTGAGGGGACGAGGTTCTGGTCCAAGATTTTAATGGTACATGGCCCTGTACTTTGAAGACACAGGGCCTGTACACTCAGAAAAACGACTTCAAGCAAGTTTCCACTTCCATGCCCAACGGTGGGGATGCTGTTCTTTGGGTCATACGGCGGGTAGAGCTCAGTTCCATTTTGGTTTCATCTGACCACAGCACTTGCTCACCCGGCTTTCCTGAATCATTTAGATGTTCACTGCAAACGTCAGATGGGCCTGCTTGAACATTTCAGTCCAATTTCTGAATACTCAAACTCAATGCCTCACCAAGTTCATGGTGGTCGTCTTTTACTTCATTCCAGCCATGGGCAGGTCTACGGTGGGAACCGGAATTCTAGCTGGGTTGTAAAGGCTCAAATACTCATTTCAGCCAATAACATGACATCAGTTTTGTCTAATGTGTTTCTCTAGATTTTTGGTTGATATTCTGCGTCTCTCCATTCAAATGAAATTCTAAAAGAAAGACTGCCGATTTCTTTGTGAGTAAACTTCAAGGTTCACCAGGGGGCAGGGATGGTTTCCCTTTTTATTGATGATGGTGATTTCTGAAGCCAAAACAATAAAAACAGCAATTCGATGGTCTTCATCCAAGAGCAGATTTAATATGTTCAGCACATCATGGCAAAGAAAGACACACTATGAGCTGTGATTTGAATCTGGCTCAAGCGTCTTCAGAAAGGAAGTCTCAGTCATCAATACAAAACCAATTCAACCAATGGACAACATCAGCTGGCTTTTGTCTCTCCAAATACATTGCAGCATTTAGTTTGATATATAAAAAGAAATTACACCAAAAAAATAAAAAATAAACTTCAATAACTTCAATTTGCTTCTTGACAGAAGAATAAACGGCCGAGTTTTCTTCAACAGAACTGAAAGACAAATACAAAGAGACACCTCAATCAGACCCAATGCAGAGAAACCTGAAACAGTCAGAAACAGATCCGACTGTCACCTGGCCCTAAACAGACACTATGAATCTCAGCACCTCAGAAATCAGAGGCAGAAGCTCAGTGGAAAAAGATCAAAGTGCACACCTGCAGTGGAAAAACACACCACAGAGCTAACAAACAAATGCAGATCTGGTAACTCAAATCTTTTCGCTTTGAGCAGCTTGAGGCAGCTGCTGTTGTGATTTGGCATTTTATAAATGAAAATGAATTGAACTGAAGCTTTGCTCTTCTCATAAATCACCTGCTTCTCCATTTAGTTGCTTCACTTTGACCTGAGTCAGCAGCTAAATCAGCTAGGTCGGGGTGAGAGGGTATGGTAAGATCAGAAGGTCAGGTAAAGAAGGTTAGCATGCAGATAGAGCTGAGAGGAAGAGGGGGAAGCTGTAATTCAGCCTCTGCTGCCACCATCTGGAGGCAGAAGCTGCAAACCTGAGCTCAAACATTCAAAGCAACAGACAGTGCACAAGACAAGTGAACAAAAGCTCCACAAAAGAGGAAGACTTCAGAGAGGATTCATGGATGTACTGAAGGAAGGAGGGTGGGTGTGACTGCTGTGTAGACCTCTAAGAAGGGTGATGAGAAAGAGGGTAGGTCGATTAGCTATTTATCAAATATTTGCAGAAGAGAAACTTTTATATGGCCCTAAATATTTCCAAGACAGCGCCGTCTGTAACACTGATCAGTGTCAACGCCAGTCCACATGTCCTGTGTATTTCTCAGAGTCAGGGGCCTTACCTTCCATCGGTTGCCGCAGTCGTTACACAAAACAAAAGTGGTCATGGGCTCATCAGCGCTGCGGGTCTGCACCTGAACACGAGAATGAGGTGGTGAAAACTGGTCAGAGAACAGCGACCATCAGCCTGAAGATGTGCTCATACCTGTGTGTACGTGCAGCTCTTTCCATGACACTTGCTGCAGATAAACATGTCTGTCTCAGTTCCTCCGACCTTGGAAAGCTGATGCTGTCTGATCGACTCTTTTGTCAGAGCCTCTCTCATCTGCTTCAGCTCTGCACTCGCCATTTCCTGCGCATGCACACACACACACACACACACACACACACACACACACACACACACACACACACACACACACACACACACACACACACACACACACACACACACACACACACACACAGCTTCATTCGACCCACTGACTCCACTCCTTTTTGTAGTTATCCAGTTTACATTCATACAAACCACCGCTGCACAAATGGGGATTCTTACCGTTTCACTCTATAAGCTCAGTGGGCTCTTGACCTCATCTCACTAACGTGAAACTAAAACAAATTACTTCCCATTTAGACTTTCAGAATAAAACAATATTAGGCCTATAAATATTTTGCCAGAGACAACTTTTTTCTAATTTAGGCTCTGTAAATCACCACAATCAATTTAAAATGAAACAACTGAGATGCAGGTGAAGTGCAGACTTTCAGTTTAATTCAATGGTTTGAACAAAAAGATTGCATAAATGTGAGGAACTAAAGCATTTTAATGCAATCAAACACAAAACAGGAAAGTAATCGGAGCAATTACATATAATAAAATGTTCATTTCTTATACTTGGTTGAAGACCCTCTGCCTGAAGTCTTGGACATCACCAGATGCTGCTTTTTAACGCTCTGCAGGCCTTTACTGCAGCAACTTTCACTTCCTGTTTGTGGGCCTTTCTGTCTGACTCCAACCAGTGAAACGCTCAGTTGGGCTAAGATCAGCTGACTGACTTGGCCCTTGAAGAATTTTCCAATAAACTCCTGGCTGTGTGTTTCGGGTCATCTGTATTATGAAACACACTGACTCTGACTGCACGTAGACAGTCTGTCTCTGAACACCTCAGGAGTTCGTTCTGCTGCTTCGGTCACATCATCATAAACACTCATGTCTAGGGATGGGTATTGATAAGATTTTCACGATTCCGATTCCATTTTCGATTCTGTTTAACGATTCGATTCTTTATCGATTCTTTTTAAAAAGGAGGACACTAAGGTCGACTAGCTTAGAACTTTGTTTTATATCTTCTCTTTGAACAAGATAGAAATTTAGGAGTAACATGGCCTTACAAACCCAACAGTGAGATCTTAAGAGATCCAGCCTATGGCTCTTCAATGGGGTGTCACAGGGTCCCCAGGAAAAAACATTGTAAATGTAAAATAATAAAATAAATATTCTTCTGTAGCAATAACAAAGTATAACATAAATTATTCTGTAGCAATTACACAAGAATATCCAGTAATGTCCCTGCCTACAATTACACACATTCACTTACTGAAAATCATCTGCTGTGGCAAACGGGTGCAAGCCTTTGACCACAAACTGAGTCACTGCTCGGTGACATTCGTCTATCCTGCCTGAAAGGAGACGCTACCGGCAGACTGCAGCGAGAACTGCCAGCATCTGAGCCAGACTCTGTCTGTCTCATCATGGTCACTAAATGCACAGTAATGGCAGGTTTGTAATAAGGCAGATCGCGCTAACATAATATGCACTGTTAGTTGATTATTTACCTGCCGCATTAACGGGAGAGGACGTGCAAACGTTACCGCTGCTGCTGGGTTGAGATTCACGAGTCCAGAATTAAAAACACGACATTCATTTAAGGTCATCGCGTGTTTTGTGAGCAAATGCTTTTGCATATTCGTAGTGTTTCCTCCCTTAAATGAAATATTTACTTTGCAAGTATTGCAAGTTGCCCTGTCGTCATCCGTTCTCGTAAAGTATAACCAAACTTTTGAGCGTTTGAGCCGCCGTGTTTCCTGCCAGGTAAATGACGCTCCACAACGTGGTGACGTCATTCGGGGCGACTGGAATCGATAAGGGAATCGTTTGCAAAAATGGCAAACTATTCCAAGGAACTGAAACAGTGGGAACCGGTTCTCAACAAGAACCGGGTTTCGATACCCATCCCTACTCGTATCCCAGTGCCACTGGCAGCCATGCACGTCCAAACCATCACACTACCTCCACCGTGTGTTACAGATGATGCTGTATGCTTTGGATCACGAGCTGTTCCACGCCTTCTCCATACTTTTCTCTTGATCTTGGCCTCATCTGTCCAAAGAATGTTTTCCCAGAGCTGTGCCGGCGTTTTTAGATGTTTGTAGCCGATCAAGCCTTTCTATTCTCGGGGCTTCTGAATGGTTGCACCCTGCAGTGAACCCTCTGTGCTTTCTGTCATACAGTCTGCTCTTTATGCTGCACTTGGGTATCGACACGCCTTCCTCCTGGAGAGTGTTGTTCCCTTGGCTGACGTTGTGAAGAGGTTTCTCTGCACCGTGATTCTGCGAGCATCCACCACCGTTGTCTTCCATGGACGTCCAGGTCTTTTTGCCTTGCTGAGTTCATCAGTGCTCGCTTTCTTTCTCAGGATGATTTTGTCACTCCTAATATTGCAGCAATTTCTCAGACGGTTTGTCTTTGTTTGTTTCAGAGCTGCATTGACTGCATGATGTCTGTTCACAGCAAAATCTTCCAAATGCAAGAACCAAACATCAAGTCAAATCTTTATTCTTCACTGATGATGACATGACGAAGGAATTGCCCACACCAGGGGTCATTAACCTTTAACACCCAAAGAGCCATTTGGACCCAGTTTCCACGCAAAAGAAAACACTGGGAGCCGCAAATACTTTTTGACATCTAAAATGAAGATAACACTGCATATATTGGTTTTTTTTTTTTACCTTTATGCTTCAACTAAGGTGTGTTGCTTATGAATCCATGAAGTGGTATGGAGAAAATTACATTATGTAATTAACACATTTTGAACTCTTAAAGAAATATAACAAAAGGAAACACCCAGCTGAACTAAAGTGATCCAGCAAACAAAAACTGTGAGCCGCCACCCTCATATCGCCTTTGGGCTTTTGGAGCCTTGACCTGACTTTGGAAAAAAACACTATGCTGCTAAAAAAAAATGAAAAATAGATATTTGCAAAATTCTGCCTACATATGTATTTTACCAGGTTAATGGGTGTGGCAGGGCGTGGTCTGCAGTGCCGCTGCAGAGGAGGCGGACGCACCTGAGAGTCACCCGCAATCACGCCTCGCCGCCTTAACCTCTGTGCTATCTGGCTCAAGCGATGGGAGTTCGCCTTGTAATCGGAAGGTTGCCGGTTCGAGCCCCAGCTTGGACAGTCTCGGTCGTTGTGTCCTTGGGCAAGACACTTCACCCGTTGCCTACTGGTGGTGGTCAGAGGGCCCGGTGGCGCCAGTGTCCGGCAGCCTCGCCTCTGTCAGTGCGCCCCAGGGTGGCTGTGGCTACAATGTAGCTGCCATCACCAGTGTGTGAATGTGTGCGTGAATGGGTGGATGACTGGATATGTAAAGCGCTTTGGGGTCCTTAGGGACTAGTAAAGCGCTATATAAATACAGGCCATTTACCATTTATCTGTGCTGCTGTGTTGGTATGTGTTGGGCTGTGAGCTTTAACACCGACTGTATGCGTACAGCAACCGTGTGTGAAAAGTGGTCAATAAAGAGATGCTGAAAAGCATGTTTATGCAAACATTGTCGGGTCTGCAGTGATATGTTTACAATGGGACTTCTGCTCCTGAACCTCTGCGCACAGCGTCTGCAAATCGTGGCTTTCATCTTTACGCAGGACTGTAAGCTGTCATCTGTGAGGCATGAGCGGTGTTTGTTTTTAACATAGTTCACGGTGGAGAACAGCTGCTGACATAATGTGGATCCGAAGATCCATAACTGGCCTACCTGGGGTTGAAAGTCTCGATGCACGACGTTTCTGTGGGTACACCGGCTTCCGCGAGTGTGACGCTTATTTTGAGCGATGAAAAATAATAAAATATAATTTTATTTTTATATTTCAAAATCACAATAATCTTCCAATTTAGAACTACAAGTTAAAAAAAGAACTAAATACAAGTAAAACACACTTCAGCTAAATACTTCTAATTTATTTTACCCAAACCACGCGGAGTCGCAGTACAAGGACTAAAGAGCCGCAGGTTGCCGACCCCTGGCCCACACCATCCATCGGCCTTTCAGACGATTGTCCGATTACTTTTGGTCCCTTTAAATAGAGGGTGGCACATGTTAAAGAGCTGAAACTCTTAAATCCTTCATCCAGTTTCAATGTGGATACCCTCGAATGAAAGCTGAGAGTCTGCACATTATGTCCTTTATACAACTAAAAAACAGGTTAAAAAAAAACAAAAAAAACCTTGTGTCAGTGTCCAAATATATATGGATGTAACTGTAGAAGTAATAAAGGGTTATACAGTTACACTGCACTGTATCGTGAAACTCCGCCCCTGACCCCTATTTAAAGAGGAAGACGCACTGACCTCAGCAGTCATACAGGCGATGCGATGTGGCGAGATGTTTCCACACAGTACGTTGCGGCGCAGTTCTGGGTTCTTCTGGTCTTTCAGGTTGGAGATTCGACTTCGTAGACGGGTTTTATATTTCATGTCTGTCGACTTAAACTCCTGGAAGATCTGTGCACATGGCGAGCCGTCAAGGATCAAGAGTGTGTGCGAAATGTGTTGGAACTGGAAAAACGTGCAGAACATTTATTGTAGTGCTGCTGGTGTTCATTAATACTGAAGCTTTTATGTAATCATGAATGAAATCTGCTCCAGTAAAGTGAGATCCTTCCTGTGAGGATGCTCCCGCCGACACTGTTCAGTGGTCAGGTTTCAGCAATAGCAACACGAAAGGATATGTTCTTCGATTTGAGCCGCCAGGTGCTCGCAGTCCACTCTGATGGCCTTGTGGTCATCTAAAACACAAACATTGGTTAGCTTCATGCTTGTAAACAGCACCACAAACACCTGACTATCAACTCTGACAGATTCCAGGTCTTTGTGTAAACAGGAGATTACTGAAACACAGATTCCTCATTTAGACAGTGATACGATCAGATTAATCTGATCAAGGCAGGGTTCAGAGTCTGAAAAGATCCAGACTTCATTATCTTCTCACCGTCCGTCTGCAGCGCCGCTACCAGCAGCTCTCGACTCTTGCTTCTCACGCAGCCCATGGTTACGGAGGCAGGGGGGAAGGAGGTGACCTGAGAGAGGGTGGTGGTAGTTGGGGAAGTGGGGGTGGACGGGGGCCCCTCAGAAGATTTACTGCTGAGGAGGAGGAGAGAGGAAGAGTTCTTATTTGACTGAAACTTTCTCCTGATCGCAAACATGTAAACAAGCTGACGCCGCCGCCAGTGTGCAACAGACCCTTTTTCACTGCTGCCATAATCCTTGGAGGTGGATGAAGACCTCACCGGAGAGCCGTCCTTTTTCTTCTCCTCTGAACCCTCTGTCAGATAAAAACTAACAAATGACTGCAGCCATAATTCTACTTCCTGTTTGTACACTCGGGATTACGGTTTCTAACACTTGATGATGCAACTTAAATCATGCGAACTGACAACAGTCACCTGGAGACACATTATATGTCACGTTTCGGTTTTTCTTTACCCACCCAGCAGTTTCTTCCAGGACTTGATGAGAGTTTTGGCTAAAGTCTGAACTTCTTCGTCTGAACTTTGTTTCCTCACAGCGTTCACCGACATACCCACTCTGGTAGACTACACACACACACACACACACACACGTTTCTGCAGCGCTTTAAATGAAAACATTCACAGCAATGATAAATGGATTTGGTCTAGTGTATTCATAAACCTCGTGGACTTTAATCTCACCGGTGTGTTACTGCACACTGAAAGTCATAAACACCGAGTCCTGTGTTACCTTCAGTTCAGTTAAATCAGACACGCAAGTGAATTTCAGGCTTTTTCGTATCACCATATTGTTTGTGGAGTTGCTCACCTGCAGTGTCTCCAGAGACATGTTGATGTTCTTCAGTTCTCTCAGCAGGTCCAGAGCATTGTCCTGTAAACAGAACCACCATTTTATTGTACCTAGTCGTTTACTAAATAAACGTGTTGTGAAAAACTGTAAGAAGGTTTCTGTCTGAATGTTAAAAAACTATTAAAGTTTTTCAGTAAAGCTTCACATTTGAATCTCGAGTCCTCACTAAGACCAAAAAAAGTGGACCACACCAGTCCAGCTCCGAGGTCTTTACACTGGCTGCCTGTCCGTCAGAGGATAGACTTTAAAGTCCTGATGCTGGTCTATAAAGCTCTGAATGGTTTAGGACCAAAATACATCAATGACCTCCTGACCCAGTATGAACCTTCCAGATCCCTCAGGTCATCTGGATCCGGTCTTTTATCAGTTCCCAGAGTCAGAACCAGACACGGTGAAGCTGCATTCAGCTTTTATGCTCCTTATATCTGGAACAAACTCCCAGAAAGCCTCAGATCAGCTGAAACACTCAGTTTATTTAAATCCAGGTTGAAGACTCACCTGTTCTCAGCTGCATTTGAATAAAGCACCAAATCCACACTTTTAAGCTTAAATTTCAAAACTTACATTTAACTACTGATTTTATCTATTGTTCTGATTTTATCAGTTTTGATTTTATATACTGTTTTGTTTGTTTGTTTATTAGTTTGTTTGTTTGCATGTTTTAATCAATTTTAAATCATGCTTTTTATTGTTTGTGTTTCTAATGTCTCTGTAAAGCGCTTTGAATCACCTTGTTGTTGAACTGTGCTATACAAATAAACTCGCCTTGCCTTTGTGCAATACTATTTTTCTTTGGTCAGCACACCTTTACATTCAGGTGGAATAAAAACACAGCTAATATTTCTTTTATCTTTTACCTCTTTGATAACAAACAAAGTTTCACCAAGAACTCAAGGAGCTGCATGACAAGACGACAGACAAACAGAAGAAAGTTCAGTACAGTCAAAGAGCGCAAGTTAAGCAAAAGAGAGTAACAGCAGAAAGCAGGACAAGACTGCTCAAAGAAGTCCTGCCATTAATTAATTCTTCGATCTTAAATATGATCAACCTATCTCTAATAATCAGCTATGTACCACCGGCCTTCAAGCTGGCTGTAGTTAAACCTTTACTCAAAAAGCATCTCTAGACCCAGCAGTCTTAGCTAATTATAGGCCAATCTCCAACCTTCCTTTCATATCAAACATCCTTGAAAGAGTAGTTGTCAAACAGCTAACAGATCATCTGCAGAGGAATGGTTTATTTGAAGAGTTTCAGTCAGGTTTCAGAGCTCATCACAGCACAGAAACAGTATCAAGCCTACAGCCTCTCCGTCAGTCCAGCCTCAGAGGTCTGTCTGCATCATGCTGCACACGTTGGTCACATTTGGAGTTCAGGAAACTACAGTTTGAATATTTTGTGCCATGTAATGACATCACTAATCACCTGACTGCAGGTGATGAGCTCTGAGCTGATTCCAGGTGTGTCCGTTTGAAATCTGAACTGTGTCATGATTTCAAAGTGTTACCTTCCTCGCTCACCATCACCTGTCGGCCGCTTTCACTCACCGTGCTCTTCTTCTGCACCATTTTATCCAACTTTCTGGCGATGCGCTCCACTTCCTGATCCTTCACCATGTCTGCGGCTGCCTCTGCGTCACTGCCCTGCAGAGGAAAGCTCCATGGATGGAGCGCAAACTCTTCTCCGTCCTCTTCTCTCCTCTCACGGCCGGTCGTTGTGTGCGAGGCATTGTGGGAGATGGAGTCTTCTTGTCTCTCCAGGTTAACGTTCTTCTTCTTTTTCTTACTTTGGTTGGCAAAAAACAAAACGGCGCATTACCGCCTCCAACTGGTGTGGAGTGTGAACTGGACCGTCGCTCAAAAAAACCCCAAACAAACAAATTCTCCCGAGCGATTTACCCTCTTTTACAAACTGGAATAAGGCCTGATAACTTTCACTTCATGGGTCCTTTTGCAGTAAATCAATAAGATCCAGTTTCATTTACATATCACTGAGGTTTCCTTCATTTCTTGCCTTACCATACTCGTTATCTCTGTCTGACAGAGGCTAATACCCAGGTCCACTACCCCATGCTTTGTGGCTTCCTTTGCAGCTCTGTCTGCCATTTCATCTGCTCTGACTCCACAGTGAGCTGGAATCCATAAACACATGTGTGTATATTCTGTGAAGTGTTGCTGAACCTCTGTTAGGACATCTGCTCTGCTTTCTGAGCGGCTACTCTGTAAACTGACCAATGACGAGCCAGAGTCGTAACAAATTACTGCTTTAAACGGCCTCATGTCTTCTACCCAGTGAACAGCTAACCGTATTGCGAGCATTTCTGTATACTGACAGTCCGTCACTGATCCTTTCCCTATTTTGACTTTAAACTCCGGAACAACCAATGCTACACCGGTTTGACCGGCTGTGTTCTTTGATGCATTTGTATGTATTTGTACATAATTATAATACTTGTCGATATAAGCCTGTCCTGTATGTGCGTTTAAATTAACTACCCTGTCCCTGTTCTTCTTTTCCAATAATGGATACTTCCTGTGGCATCAGGTAGTATCCATGGAGGTATTGCTGATAACGGCACTCTTTGACTGATGTTGAACTGATGCTCTCCTAGTCACAGTCCATCCGAAGCTCTTTGTTTCCTGCAAGGTTTTAGTACCTCTTCTGTTGGGTGATCCTGTCCATGGCCGTCCAGATTTGCCATTAAGTGTTAACTGCTCTCTTCTCATTCCTAGTGGCATCTCACCCATCTCCATCTGTAAAGCTGCTGTTGGGCTTGTTTTAAACACACCTGTGCAGAGTCTCAGTGCCTGATACTGAATATGGTCTAACTTTGAAAGGTTTGTGTCTGCCACTGAATTATATGCTACACATAATCTAACACTGATTTGACTAACCCAGGGTATATGGCCCTCAAAGACTTCCTATCTGCTCCCCAGCCCATCCCAAGTAAACCGCTCATTATATTTATTATCCATTATTCCCTGAATGTGTTCAGCCCGTGTTACCCTTTCATCCAACCACAATCCAAGAAACTTAAATTTACTCTCTCTTTCTAACTCCTGACCGTATAACTTAAGCTTGACTTCCTCTCCAACTCTTTTTCTCGTAAAATCATTGCCTTGGTCTTATAAACCGAAAATTTAAAACCCTGTTTATACGACCACTCTTCAACTTTTCCAGTTGCCCCCTGTAGTTTCTTTACAATAAACATTTTTATTGTAAAGAATAAAAATGTTTTCCCTCTCTTCCCCATCGCTCCATCAAAGTGAAACCCCCATCCCACCCTGTATGTCATTAAACACATGATTTATCATTAAAGGAAATAACAAAGGCCTCACTCTGCTCCCTTGATGTGTACTGTTTTCTACGGGAAACCTCTCCGAGTGAATCTTCCCAATTCTCACTTGTATTTGTCTTCCCCTTAATAAATCCTTTATCATCTGAACATCCACTGATACCCGGTTTCCTGACTTTGAGGCCTTTGAGGCCTTCTCTCCACATCGTGTCGAAGGCTTTTTCCATGTCAGCAAACACCTCAACTACACTCTCTTTGTTTATTTGTGCTTTCCTGACTTCATGTTCCAAACACAATATGGATCCTCTTCTGAAAGCACTTTGATGTTTACAGGGAGTGCAGAATTATTAGGCAAGTTGTATTTTTGAGGAATAATTTTATTATTGAACAACAACCATGTTCTCAATGAACCCCAAAAACTCATTAATATCAAAGCTGAATGTTTTTGGAAGTAGTTTTTAGTTTGCTTTTAGTTTTAGCTATTTTAGGGGGATATCTGTGTGTGCAGGTGACTATTACTGTGCATAATTATTAGGCAACTTAACAAAAAACAAATATATACCCATTTCAATTATTTATTTTTACCAGTGAAACCAATATAACATCTCCACATTCACAAATATACATTTCTGACATTCAAAACAAAAACAAAAACAAATCAGCGACCAATATAGCCACCTTTCTTTGCAAGGACACTCAAAAGCCTGCCATCCATGGATTCTGTCAGTGTTTTGATCTGTTCACCATCAACATTGCGTGCAGCAGCAACCACAGCCTCCCAGACACTGTTCAGAGAGGTGTACTGTTTTCCCTCCTTGTAAATCTCACATTTGATGATGGACCACAGGTTCTCAATGGGGTTCAGATCAGGTGAACAAGGAGGCCATGTCATTAGTTTTTCTTCTTTTATACCCTTTCTTGCCAGCCACGCTGTGGAGTACTTGGACGCGTGTGATGGAGCATTGTCCTGCATGGAAATCATGTTTTTCTTGAAGGATGCAGACTTCTTCCTGTACCACTGCTTGAAGAAGGTGTCTTCCAGAAACTGGCAGTAGGACTGGGAGTTGAGCTTGACTCCATCCTCAACCCGAAAAGGCCCCACAAGCTCATCTTTGATGATACCAGCCCAAACCAGTACTCCACCTCCACCTTGCTGGCGTCTGAGTCGGACTGGAGCTCTCTGCCCTTTACCAATCCAGCCACGGGCCCATCCATCTGGCCCATCAAGACTCACTCTCATTTCATCAGTCCATAAAACCTTAGAAAAACCAGTCTTGAGATATTTCTTGGCCCAGTCTTGACGTTTCAGCTTGTGTGTCTTGTTCAGTGGTGGTCGTCTTTCAGCCTTTCTTACCTTGGCCATGTCTCTGAGTATTGCACACCTTGTGCTTTTGGGCACTCCAGTGATGTTGCAGCTCTGAAATATGGCCAAACTGGTGGAAAGTGGCATCTTGGCAGCTGCACGCTTGACTTTTCTCGGTTCATCGGCAGTTATTTTGCGCCTTGGTTTTTCCACACGCTTCTTGCGACCCTGTTGACTATTTTGAATGAAACGCTTGATTGTTCGATGATCACGCTTCAGAAGCTTTGCAATTTTGAGACTGCTGCATCCCTCTGCAAGATATCTCACTATTTTTGACTTTTCTGAGCCTGTCAAGTCCTTCTTTTGACCCATTTTGCCAAAGGAAAGGACGTTGCCTAATAATTATGCACACCTGATATAGGGTGTTGATGTCATTAGACCACACCCCTTCTCATTACAGAGATGCACATCACCTAATATGCTTAATTGGTAGTAGGCTTTCGAGCCTATACAGCTTGGAGTAAGACGACATGCATGAAGAGGATGATGTGGACAAACTACTCATTTGCCTAATAATTCTGCACTCCCTGTAGATATGTATCCCTTATTTTCTATATGGTACGTGAATCTTTCACGTATCATTCGCTCCATTATTATACAGATATTAGATGGTAAGGCTATTTGTATCATCCTTTCCTGGTTTACATATGGGCCCTTGAACTGCACAGTCTCGCACATGCGCAGTACTAGGGCGATCGTGGCTCTGGGGGTTGGGAATCGCATCTGTAACCGGAAGGTCGCCGGTTCGATCCCTGGCCTCTCTGGTCTGGTCGTTGTGTCCTTGGGCAAGACACTTTACCCTACTTGCCTACTGGTGTTGGCCAGAGGGGCCGATGGCGCCATATGGCAGCCTCGCTTCTGTCAGTCTGCCCCAGGGCAGCTGTGGCTACAACTGTAGCTGCCTCCACCAGTGTATGAATGTGAGAGTGAATGAATAGTGGTATTGTAAAGCACTTTGGGTGCCTTGAAAAGCGCTATATAAATCCAATCCATTATTATTATTACTATACAACTGGCGGGGTCTTTCTATCTCTTGAATTCGGGCAAAAGCAATAACTAGCTGACGTTAACAGGGGGCTTCTTTGATTTGGTTTGCTTGCCTGTGCGTCCCTTGATACACTGCTTTAGCTTAAGATCTGCCAACAATCATAATGTCAACACATGTTAGATGCTTCAGCTTTGTCTCATCCGATAGATGCAAAAGGTCAAGAAGGTAAGACTTCTTGACCTCTTAGATGTTACAGTATTTGCTCCACATCTATTGCTCTCTTGCTTGAATGCTGTCTCTCTCTTTCAGTTAAAAGGGAAGATAAATATGGGCCATTCACTGCCTTTAAAAAGTCTTGTTGAAAAACTGTCTCCCACAGAGTCCATGTGTTGGTTTAGCCTCAATACAGCATTTAAGCTGACTGTAATGACTGTAATGAATAATTGATTGCCTACAATGCAGGTGGGTCTGAGGGTCACATTTCTTTCCAAATACTTGTGTAAAATATATCCTGTAACAAAGGAGAGTGGACCAGTGATGCTTACCCGGCAGAGTAAACTGAAGATTTCCAGGGAAAAACCCCAAATCTAATCTAAAGACAAATATTTGGTTGATCTGTAATGATCATGTTCTGTCCATCTCACCTGTGAACAGAAATTTTTTTTTAAAATAGGATGTGTAACAATGTGTTTAATATTTACTTTTTCTAATCGAATATTTTGTTTAACTTGTGCTTCTGTAACCAGGCTTTAGAGATGTTCCCTTGTTAATGCCAACTGTCTTCATGCTAGACTCTTTTCACATTACTGTAAATCAGCACAGAGAGTCACGTCAGTTGGCTCTACTTTGCATTTTCGATAAGTTGTCGCGAAATATAAATATTTAAGTGTATTTTATAGGAAGGATTTTAATGAGATAACAATGAGAAAGCATAAAGTGACGCAAGTGTTACAGAAGACTATAGCTGTGTTTAAAGTGGCAGAATGAGAGTAAACAACTTAAACCTTCGGAGTTAGCTATAGTTAAGAGAGCAGTGGGCTAGTTTGAACTCATTCAG